TTTTTTTTTTTAAAGGTTAGGAGAGTTTTCAGTGAAAAAAAGAGAAGAAAAAATGGCTCTGGGTTTCTCCAGGAGGAGAATCAAAAAAGTGGAATTTGCTCTCTCCTTCTGGTACTTCATAATCTGGCAGCATCTTAGGATGTCCTACTGGTACCTCAAAATTAAACCTGACCCCAAATAATTCATTATCTTCACCACCTAATCTGTCATCTCTCTTATTCCACTTCCTGAGTAATAACACTATCATCTAACCCAGTTCCTCAAGTTAAAAAATCTGGGAATAATTTCTAACTCCCACTCCCATACTTAATGGATCTGCCTACAGATTTTACCTCCTACCCCTCAAACCTGTTCTTTCTTCTCACTGTCCCGGTCTTCAGCTGTTTATCGTCTCCTGCTGTGACTCCTGCAAGGTCTTCTCACTGCAGGGATCTTCCTCTGTAGCCTGTCCCTGGATTATCTCCCTAACATGCACATGAACCCTATCACTCCTCCCTCCTTAAGCCCTCCTCTGAGATCAAAACTTTCAATCACACACGGCTCTGACTAGCTCTCACTTGCCCTCTTCTCATCTGTCACCATCCTGTCCAGCCCCAGTGAGATGCTCAAGCATATTTCATCCGACCACTCTTTCCTACCTTTTACCTACGATACTTTTCCTACCCCTCTCTCCACTCACCTTTATTAACTGCATTAAAGAGCTCCTGACTTGGAACATGACTGGGGAATATCGCATACTTCTACACTCCATTACAACTCCACGATATTTTATACCTACGGTTACCAACCAATAATTAATTACTCGTGAAGTGCAGATTCTCCCAAGACTGAAGCAAGCATTTCATGTCATTTATCCAGCAGAATGTCGAGTGTACAGAGCACCCATGCCCCCGTACTTGGGACTGAACCCAAGGCCTTTGCACTGAACTACATTCCCAGTACTTTTTATTTTTAGACATTGGTCTGGCTAAGTTACCCAAACTAGCGATCCTCTTGCCTCAGCCGCACCCCATGCTGGGTTTACAGGCGTGCACTAGCACTCCTGGTTAAAGCATACATGATAAAAATTTTCTTTGAGAATCAACGAGTGTAAAAAAAAGAGAGAGAGAGAATCAACGAATAAAGGCTAGGATGTAGCTCAATGGTAGAGCACTTGCCTGGCATGCGCAAGGTTCCAATCCTTAGCACTAGAAACAAAGGAATCAATGAATGAATGAAAGAAGGAAGGAGAACTAACTCCGGGAGAATGGGGCCCTTGTTTCATTCACACATTCTCAGCTCCTAAATCAAGCCGACATCATAAACACTAAACGGTTCCTCAGTTAATTTGTTTTCTGATCACCGTTAACACCTGCAAATTTTGCTTTGCCTTCACACCTTATTAGGCCCTGTCCCCAAACTGTGTCAAGGGGTACAGAGATCAGGGACGCGGAAAGGGAGCCGAGTCTCAAACCCGCACAGATCTGCCCAGTGGACCAAAGCGCCAGCAAAAGTAAAGAGGGCGTCAAACTCGGCTCTGAGGTTAACCTCGCTGTAAATCACGCTGAGCGCAACGCTGAAAGAAATCAGTGACGTGCTCCACAAAGGTAGAGACTAAAATAAACAAACCCAATAGTACAAGGGACGAAAACGGGCGAAGGACAAAGCATGAGAAAAGACAGCCGACGAGCTCTGGGCTGGGACACGCAGAAGGGAAGCGGTTTTGTCTACACCCCGGAGGCGCGGGGTGGCGAGGGGTCAGGGCTCAGGGAGAGCCCTGGGGGCGCCCCAAGAGTCACCTCCGGGCGAGGCCAGCACTCACCACCTCCCCCTGCTCCGCAGACTTGTACACTCCCGACACCATCTCGTTATGGAGAAGCAAAAACAACGCCTCGTCCGCCATGTCCGCCTTCCTTCCGAGCTCCGGGTTTCAGCTGTCGACTGGGCCGGCCGGGGGTTCCGGCCAGCGCCGCAGCGACGAGGCCGGCGCCCACTTCCTCCGACGGCGGCCCTGTCCCCCGTTGCTAGGACACTGAAAATTGCACTGGGCCTCCCAAAGGTCGCAACCGGGTGAGCCCGACAACAGGGAGGAACCACCCTGGGGGAACCGAGCCCGAGGGCCCAGAGCGACGACCTAACAGCGAGGGGCTGGAACTAAACCCAGACCGCGGAGACCAGCCCGGCCCTGGGCGGGGGCACTTCCGGTCCGCTCTGTGCCGGCACTCCGCCAGCTCTATGGTCGCGAACTTCCGCTCTCAGGCCGGGGCCGCGGCTTCCGGGAGAGGAGGAAGGCTGCTACCTCGCAGGGCGCGGAGGTCGGCTGCCGTCTCCACGTTAACTGGCTGTAAAACTTAAATTTGAGGACACTTTCTCCCGGCGCCGAGCCTGCCCGCCGGCCCGAGCTCGCGGGCCCCCCCACTTCCCCGCGACGGTCGCGGGGCGCCGGCGCCTGGACCTCGCCCTCGGATCTCTGCGAACGGCCGGCTCGAGCGTCTGCAGAGAGACACGGAAGATGGTGGAGAAGTCACCGTCGCCGTTGCCCGAAAGAGCGATTTATGGCTTTGTGCTTTTCCTGAGTTCCCAGTTTGGCTTCATACTTTACCTCGTGTGGGCGTTCGTCCCCGAATCCTGGCTGCACTCCTTTGGCCTGACTTACTGGCCTCAGAAATACTGGGCTGTGGCTCTGCCTGTCTACCTGCTTATTACCGTGGTCCTCGGCTACGTGCTCCTGTTTGCCGTGAACATGATGAGCACCGCCCCGCTCAGCTCCATTCAGACGATCACGGATGACTATGCCAAAAATCAGCAGCAGAAGCAATACCAAGAAGAGGCCATCCCAGCGCTGAGGGATATTCCTATAACCGAAGTAAATCAGATGTTTTTTCTGGAAGACAGAACCTTACACCAAAAACTAGACTGAACTGTATATAAATATACCAACACGAAGCGTTTGTTTGTTTTGGACAGTAATTTTGACCATAATTGTATTGACTGTCACTCTTACTAATGCCGAGTATTGAGGTGTAAAAAAATGAAAGCTGATTTCTTAAAGTTAAGTTAAATATTGTTTAAAAGAAAAAGGTGCCGTCAACCTTGGGAAAGGCTATCCCAGTAAACCGTGTTGAGCTGGCATTGTACAGAAATTAACAGCCATATTGGTCTAGAAACGTTAAAGTTAATTTTTTTTTTTTTTGCATTTGTGCAGGGGTAACCTACAGTATTCATTATGTAAGGTCTTATCTATGTGGGTTCGATTACAGAAACCAATAAATATTCTCTAATGAAAAAAAATGTGTACGGACGGTAAAATCTTCCATTTCCTGCCATATGTTCTTTAGTATGAAGTGTTACAAAGAAGCGGCATAGTGGTGCACCTGTAATCCCAGCAGTGTGGGAGGCTGAGGAAGGAGAGTCCCCTGAGTTGGAGCCCAGCCTGGGCTAGTGAATTTAAGGCAACCCTGAACTGCATAGCTAGATCCTGTCTCAAAAAGATTGGGTGGGGGGAGTCTTACAGTGATGGACACTTTTTTGAGTTTTATTTTGAGACAGAATCTTGCTAAATTGCACAAATTGGGTTTGAATTTGTAGTTCTGCCTCAGCCTCCAAGAGGTGTGGATTACAGATTTGTGCCCCACCAGGTCAAGGCTACACTTTTCTAAATTCTTTAGCTTTTTTCAATTTACTTAATCCTTTAGTTAGTTTACATTTTCTTTGTTTTTCTTTTTTTTTTTTTT